GTTGTCTGTTTAATAAAACTGTTATTGGGCCCCCGCGGGGGCCGGCCCGGGCTGCGGGAGGGCGAGAGCCGGCCCGGGCTTCCCGCCGGCTGCCCCTGCCGGCCAGGGATGGGGAATGAAACAGGGAGATCTGCCTCCTTGTGCGTGTATTTTAATTTCTGGTCACACATGGGATTTTCTCCTCTCTGTCTCCACTTTTTGGCAGTACTGTTTTACACATGGGTTCACAAATGTCCAAGACTGAGAAACATTTTGGAGCAATTTGCCCCCAAATCATCCATGTCAGAGGAATACCTGAGCAAAAATGTACAGCTGGAGTTGAGGTTATAAGGGAGATATTAAAATACTATGTAATATAGAGGAGACATTAAAATACTGTGTGTGGGTTCCTCCGTGTGTGTACGTGCGCGCGCACACACACACATACAAACTGTGTGTGTATATGCATGAAGGAAACACTCCTCCCCCACACACACACATGTATATATGTGTGTGTGTTTCCTTCATACACGTACACACACATTTATATATGGGAGATAGTAAAATACAGCTACACATACATATATGCATATATATCTCTCCCTAATATATACATATATGTGTGTGTATACATATATACACACACATATATCTTTAATATATCTATATACACATACACACAATACAGATATCTATCTATGTGTAGTTTCCTCATGTATCCCCATTCTGACAAAGCAAAAGAGGGTGTTGGAGAGAAAGGGAGATAGAAATGGGGACTGAAACAAGAGGTATATTACTACATGTCTGTCTTCTCTTGTGTGTGTGTATGTATGTCTGTGTATGTATATATAATCTTTGTGCATGGGAGTATGTATATGTAGTTCCCCCTGTCTCTATGTACAGACACGGAAGAAGATATATATACAAGGAGATGCAGCTGTAATGTTGTAGTTATTTTTGTATACACCTGTTTTCATTCCCTGTGTGGATTTCCCTTTGCCTCAAATACCCTCTTTTGCTTTGTCAGAATGGGAATCTCCCCTTTGGCTTTGTACATCTGGAAGGTTTCTAGGGATTCCACGAGTTTCCCCAAGCACCACCTCTGCCTTCCTCTGTTATTTCATTGTTGTTGATTTTGTTTTATGAATTCTTCTGTACCAGTTTTTATGGTTGGGGGAGAGACGTTGGGACATTAATGTGTGAGGGGCCTTGGTCCCCCTTATAATCCTGCCCTGTTTGAAGGCCAGACTTTTAAAATGTTTGAAGCCCTTATGCATGCAAATATCTGAGCGTGTTTTACATTTCCCTGTAATGCTTCTGTCTGCACCTGGGTGAGGTACAGAAATCCTGTTAGCCCCATTTTAAAGATGGGGAGCTGAGGCACTGAAGCACAGAGCAAACTGCCTAACCTGCAGCACGGGGACTGTGTGGCAGACCAAGAAGCTGCACCCTAGCCTCCAGTATTTCTGTCTACAGTTTCAACCACAAGGGCAACTGCTAAAGGGAAGATGTTCTGTTTTCAGAGGTGTATTTTGTCATCTGTGTCATATTGAGAGTGGCACAGAACATATTTGTGAATCTGGCTTGTATTTAAGCAGCCTAAACAAGATCTGAGTGCTTTTGAAAACTAAGCTGCTCAGCAGTTAAAAATGTGGTCTTGAGCCCTTTTGATTTGAACCCACCAGAAGCATCTTCTGAAATCAGTGGTATCCCCACTCTCTACCCCCAACACACACACATACACAAACAGGTATTGCGTATGAAATTTAAAGTTAACACCCTAAAAGGGCAATCAGCAGCTTCTTGTGCTGATTGAGTGCTAACAGAATTGTAACCATTGGACTCCTCCATGGCAACCATGCAAGTGTATTGTGAACAGGTCTAGAGCTCCCAGAATGTAACACAGTGCAATTTTGTTTGCACTGTTGGGTCCAAGTATTATCAAATGATAATATTTACTCTTCCACTTCAAAGAGTTTTCATTAGTGGTTACGATAAAGAGGTATCATGAAAAAGAGCTGACTGCTGTGGAAGGGTCCCTGGGATTGTTGTTACATTGTACTTACCATTATTTATTTATATGCCTTTTGAAACAGTCACTGTGATCTGAACAAGAGACTAAAGGACTAGTTTTAATCTCATCCCATTAGTTGGTTTGTTTTATCTGACATATTCACAAGCAGGAAAAGCGAAATATATTTAAAGGGTTAAAATTGTTTAAATATTAATAAATGTTGCTGAATCCCAAGGAAGTTGTCCTTGGAATTAAATTTTGCACAGTTTCAGGTTACATGATTTGCAACAGCAATAACTTGTCATCTCTGGGATCTGTGTCCTTACAACTGTGATTAATGTGAGTTTGAGATAGGAGGGGGAGTGGCATATTTCTGCAATGGGAGCCAATATAAGAAGGCAGGTTAGATTTGCACCTTATAGACTAACTAAATCAGAGGTGTCTATAGCATAATATTTCATGAGCCCAAGCTCACTTCATCAGCAGCTAATATAAAGATGGGTGAATAAAATATAAACTGGAAGGCTTTCTATCCTTTATGAAATGTCAGGTAATAAAGGATAGCTCTTATTATGTAAGGTAAAAAATTGTTCAGCACTACTCTTGTAGAGATCTTTATTACCACATACTGCAGGCCAGAGTCATTACCTTGATTCCCAACTACATTAAATCACTGGCTTATATTAGTGGTTCTGTATCACTGTGTACTTAAAAAAGTCAAGCCATTGATGATGGTTTTATAGGGGTCTTATTCTGCAAGGCTCACACATGAGTAATCTCAGTTCCCCTGCCCTTTCCTCCTTACTCCCCTCTGTTTGATGTCCCCCCTGCCTTCTCTTTCACTTAGCTTACTAGTCTCCTCTTCCTTTTACTTGTAATATACATACATACATACATACATATGTATACACACACACACACATATATGTATATATATATGATGCTGCTTACAGAGCATTCCTCTCCAGTGTGTGTATACATATGGGTCTCTCTTTCCCCGGCCTTTGTCTTTCTTGTCCATCTAGACCAGTGGTAGCCAGCCTTTTCAGCAGGTGTGGTGCAAGTCAAGCCCCAGCTCCCTCCGTGTGCTGCTCTGACCCTACCCTCCAGAGGCATACCTGATAGAGTTTACACCCTGGGGCACTGGAATGGAGGCAGGAGGCTCAAACTCCCAGCCTTGCAGTGGAGTGGGCAGGATGCTGACACAAGAGGAGGTGTTACCAAGAGCCAAGTTAACCCTTGCTTGTCCCCATAATTGCTGCAGGTTTATATGGCGAGCAAGGATCCAGGGCCTCTACTTCAACTGCAGCCGCAGGGCCAGAAGGGCTAACCTG